AACATGCTCATGAAGTTCATGTTATATGAAATTCAGTGGTTTTTTGGATCTTAAAACTAAGTATCAGAAACAAGGGCACACACTCTGTATCTCAACTCCAACAACAACCCTCAGTGAAAGTCAGTCAACTATTTAACTAGAAATGTCAAATCTTCAAAGGACCAGACAGTGGAGCTCTAGCTACTTTTTTATTCATTGCAAAAACAGGAACAGAGTGAAGAGAGAGATGTCCATGGGCTTCTGGTTCCATAGAGGCATCTAGCCTTAAATAAGAAGAGCTGAAGGCAGGAAGGGGAAAAAATAAATAATAAAGGAAGAGTCAGGAGAGAAGGGGTAACTAAAAGAACAAGCAAGCTGCAACTTAAGTTGAGGCAGGGCAGGGTTCTGCCCAATGTCAACAGATTAACAATGGAGTATAGAATAAAACAGATTTCCTGACAGTTCTATAGGCAACACGCAACTCCAGCCACTCCACTGACACGCTCAGTATCACTGTTTGCCCAAGAATTTTTGAGTCTTGTGGAGTGAATTTTACTGCGCCCTGAGAAGGTTGAGAAGAATTCCACCTTCAGTAGCACCAGACTGAAATGTCATCTATTCTGTGATTGCAAAGCTATTGGAGAGGAATTGGCACGGAGTAAAGATATGTCCAGCTGAAAGATCTCCAAAACCACCTTTTATCTGGATATAAACTAGGGCTGGACTTCAGACATGCCTTTCCCTGGGTGTTTTGCAGTCTCAACTTGAGAATTAATGTAGTTGTCTACAAACACAAGAAGACTGAGATTAGAAGCCCAAAGAGACCAATGACTGTTGCTGCCCTGAGGCCCAAGTTGTTTTCAGAATTCACAAGTTCCCAGGCTTCCTACTATATCTTCTTTGGAGTTAGGTTAATTAAAACTCCTGATCTGCCCATGATTTTCACGTTTTAAACACCCTGAAAAGGTATTTCTTATGGATAAAGCTTAGGAAAGGCTTTTCACTACTGAAAACATAACTCTTTTGCAGATTGGAAGTGAAGAGGCCTGGGAAAAACAGAACTGTGAAAATCTTTGGAATAAGGAAGACAATAAAAACTAGGAAAATGATGCTGAAGGAAAAACAAAAGACAGAAGCACACCATGCAAAAGCTGTGAGTAAACTTTTGCATTTGAATTGGAAAGGCAGAACAAAGCATTTGAGTCTTGTGGTCTGTATAATCAATCTGCTTTCTATTTCTCCTTATTTCTAGTTCTTATATAGTATATGGTACATCATCCCTATCTGGATGGTTTGGAGTAAAATATACTTATGTATTTATATACAAGTAAATTTTTCTCACCAGGAAGAGGCAATAGTGCATACTAGACTGTCTGCAGAGTGATTTTTCTATATATTCTATTCTATATATTACATATATATTATATTAGTGAATCTGAAAATAAAGTTTCTACACAGGTTCTGTAGCAGGTAAATAACATTCCTTTCCTGGGATTTAGAAGAAAGTATTAAATAAACATTTTATTATTACTATAGCAAAATAATGTTACATGATATTAATTATTTAGAATACAGGGTCAATCATTTAAGAGCAATCACATACTTATCAACTGGTCTGCAAGATAGAGAAAATCTATATGTCACAGGAAAAATCAGAAGCTTTAAAACCAGGACCCATTATATCATCTAATGTGACTCCAGTTGCACTAAAGATAATTTCCCAACAGTTTGCATGTCATCATGGATATGGACCAAAACAACAGATCTTTCTGAGAGACACTGGTTAGTTTGTGCAAAATCTTCATACTAATGCATATACAATGCAACATGAGGTAACTTGAAAACAGAATTCTTGTCACTGAAACTGTTAAAAAAGTACTTTTTTAAAGGTGTGACTGACATTTCTTACTATAAAAATCTCTCTTAATAACTACTTTTATGCCTTCTGCAAGAAGCAAGCACTTCAAACTCTGTGACTCTTTTTCCTAATTTATAAACCAAGCATTTGTACAAGTTTCCATGACTTGTTATTCTTTATTTTGAAAAACAGACGTATTCTTTCAGTTCCATTTTGAAAGACTAAAGCATAATGGTAGGATGGTAGGAAAGTGAAACGGCAAATGATTCATTGTATGTTGCACACATCTCACTAACTGTAAACCAATGTTTCAGTTTTAAATAAGATGGTCATTTATTTCAACTTATAAATATAATCCTTTACTATAAAACATGTCTTCCATCTTTTCTGTGTAAGGGGAATTTAGAATCATTCCTATTTGGAAGGAAGGAAAGAAAACCTACAAGCAGATAAATTTTTATTGAAAAAAAATATTTAGCATCTAAGCCACCACAACATTATGTTAATCATATTCAGTTTATGCATTATGGAACCACTTCATGCACAAAAACCCGCTTTTGGGGCATGCAATTTTATCAGGAGATTTAAGTCTCTTAATGTTTTAATGAAGTTTAATAATTTCCTTTAATTCCCATATTTAAAAATTCTATTAGGAATTTAAATATTTTCCAATGTTAAAAAAAAAATTAATTTTAATGGGACCATTACTCCTGCGTTTTTTGCTACATATTCCAAAGGGTTTCCTTTCCTTAGAATTACTTTAAATTGAGACATGTGTTTCTCTGTTTTTTTTGCATGAAATCCATGCTCTGCCATGTTTTACTTTGCTTTGCTGTTCCTTGTTCATTTATGTCATATATAGACATAAATTAATAAAAAGAGGAACTGGGGACACTTTCTTCTCTGGTTTGTATGTTGGTTTTGGGTTTTTTCCTTAACAGAATAGCAGAATTAGAAAAAAATTACAGATATTATATATTAATTTTATATTATTAAATAAGTTCTGAAAAAATAATCTTAGCCATCAATTAATAGGTTTTAACTTCATGGCATACTTGTAGCATCACTGAAATTACAGAGGTTTTAAATTCTATAGTGGTTACTGGAAAAAGCTAATAGGCTAATACAGTAGTGGCTATACTAAGACATCTTAAAACAACAAAAGAGTTTATCTCAATTCAACTGGAACACATTGGGCTGTAAAAATGGCATGTACTTGACTGTGTCACGCTGTGTAAAGAATATACAGCATAGGAGGAACTACCTCAGTGCCATCAAACAGGGTGTCAAATACCAGTAAAATTAAAAATCAGCTATACATCTTAAATGTGCTTTTCCACAAGTGTCTAAAGGATTCCAAAGAAGGGCTAATAACTCTAGTTATAGACACATGAACATGTAGAGTGAAGAGTAAAAACTCACTGTGATCCAGTGAAGTGCTCCGAAATGAAGTTCAAACTAACCTAAACCAAAGAACAACTGACTTCTAAAACCTAGGAACATGAACTTATTCCCACTGAAATGCACGGCAATTTTCCACTGATACAAGTTTTCTAGGAATGGTCTTTAATACTGCTGTTTAATACCTAATCTATATTACTGTTATTTTTTTTTGCAAAATTCAACCTGGAATGCAGAAGTGTGATATGAAAAGGATGTTTTGTTTGCAAATTTGGAATGAAATGTGGCTTGGACTAGACTGCATAACTAAAAAACCAGCAAAAGGAAATTTGATACTCACCATTCTCGCAGAACTCAAGTTTCTTAAAATTAAAAGATTAAAAATACTTTGATACTGTTTTTAAAATGAAAACCAAAAGGAAGAAAATGTAGATGTTAAACTGTGCCAGATTTCTGAGGTCTTTGGTTAATAACCATTACCTTTTTTCAAAGTGGTTTGAAACTAGTAATAAAGCTATTACCTAAATACACTCCAGAATTAAAAAAAAGTCTCACTGGCTACAAACCAGAAAAGCTATTAATCCTTTATACTAGCATGTTAAATCTCAAACTATATGTGAGATTTAACAAATCCCTTATTTCTTCTTCTTTATGATCTATAACTGAATTAATTAGGAGTTCTTAATACTTATTCAGCACAGTACTTATACATGTTCCCAACTTCACACTCCTGAGAAAACCCAAATCCTTACCTGGCTTCATTGACTTCACTGTAAGTTAAATTAAGCAGAAATTTATGAATGAATAAGCACTCTGGTATTTTGTTGAACCAGGAACTTGACTTCTGCAGATAAGAAGGAGTCCCTCTGACTTCTTCTGTTTACAAGTGCTCAGTTTTATCAGGTCACAGTTATGTGCCTTTAGCAAAATAGGGATAACAGTTATTTGAGAGCAAGACCCATCATTGTGTCAAGTCAACATTCAAGAGTTGTACATGTGGAGAGGAAGATGAAGAGAAGCGTAGTATGAATCAGATTCTTAACATACAACTACATAATAAGATAAGCATATTTTCAATTATTATTACCATAGACATATATAAAGAAGATTAAGTGGATCAGAAGAATTAAGCTTTGAAAGTATAGATGCGCTAAATTCAGCCATATAATAATATTAGCAAATATTGATACTGATTAACTTTGTGCTATGGGAGTTAATACTCTACATACAAAGTCTGAAATACAGCTCTGGGTTTGGAAATATCTGTTAATCAAATTAAGTACTATGCATCTTAATGGTTTGCTCATGCTGCTTTACCAATGTATCTTAGTCATGACCAGGCAATTCAATGATCATGAAGCCTCTGATCTGTTTCCTGACCTGATCTGTTTCCTGACCTGTTAAATAATATCAATCAAAACAGAGTAGAAGAAAAGTTATTTTAATGCAGCGGATATTCCTTCAAGCCAAACTGAGAATCACCAGGTCCATTTCTGAAGACTTTTCTTTTGGCTGCAGTTGATTCAAGAGAGAGCAAATTCAATGACCTAAAGTCAGAAGGATATTTATCACATACTAGTAATTCCTTGAGTCAGTTGACACACTGTAGGCTATTTATTCTCCAGTTGTGTCATAAAATGAGTCAGTTCTGGTTAACCAGAAAATATTTTTTCCTGTTAATCAGTGAAGTAATTTTCAAAGTGGAAGGTAGCAGTGAAGTAAAAACAAAGTAAAAATAAAAAAGTGAAAATAAAATCTTTACCCTAATAAAAAGGATCTTCTCTCCAACTCTGTATCTTCCCTGTGAAAGACGTTCCACACAGAACTTACTAGGGCATTTACACGGTGGATCTTCAGAAATATGTTTAACCTATAAAACAAGACATTATTAATAGGAATGGTTTAAAAGAGCATGGATAGCAAAACATTCGGTAAGACACTTGCCATAATGTATAATTTAAGTCTTAATTGATGGTATTTTTCTTGGTCTTCTTAACATTTCTGTAACCCCAGAAAGCACCCTATGGTGCTTCCAATAGCAATGATTTAGTAGCTGAGTTAAAAATGTCCCACAGTTCAGTATCAAATTTGCACTTTTTATCTGAAGTCAAGCAGTCTGTTACATGGAATTTAGCATCAAACTTTTCTAAATGTATTCTCAGTATTTTATGATGAATCAGCTCAAAGTGCTAATACAGCTAACAGGCAAAATGAAGATGTCATAAGATGCATCCTGCCTTCTAAATATATATAAATATAGAGATATCTTCCTTACCAGTTAGAGGCCCTGCCTATTTAAAATTGTAGACTGACACCTTAGAAAAAAGCATACAGAAAATACTGTATCATGTATGCTACATGATTAAAAATTCATGCCAAGACACTGCCCAGTAGTTTCAACTGCACTTACGATCTCCTTGTTAGGGCTAGTTCAATCAAAATTAATTTAAAGGTATCTCAAGCGCACTATCATTGCCAAACCTAACTACATAGCCCCAAAAATAAGGGCTGAGAAAAACAGAAGAAAACCAGCCTCCTGCTTGTTATTAGCTGCATCAGCTTGACTTCAGCTTCCTTGGTCTGGCATGTGCTACCAGAGGCAGTGATGTTTAGTAGAAGTATATTTTGTACTTTTCAGTGATGGGAAAGTAGCAAAGGCATCAATATCAGAAGAGCAGATCTGGCTGTGAAACTCTTACTTGACATTCAAATTGCACTTCTGCATAGGAACAGCAAGAATAAGTGCAGCATCTTCAAACACTGTGGTTTCCTTGGACAAAGTACGTACTTAGTATGTCAACATCTAACAATGCAAAATTCCAGAGGAACTTGTAGATTTTGTCCACTTCAAACAATATTCCAAAGACATTTTCATATCCAGTTTGCAAACCAAGGCCTGTAAAAATGGTCTGAAGCCCAGGAAAGGGTATCTTCAGAATAGCTAACAAATTAAAGTCTTAAAAAACAAATAACTCTGTAAGTCTACAGATGGTTAAAATAAACTAAGATGCTAAACTCAGGCTTTTGTGTCTGGACTATACGAGCAACTGTTATTTTATGGTGTGAATGTCTGGGGCAGTGCAGGTCAGGAATCTAGCTGGATGAATTCCATTCTGTTTCTATCCATGCTGCTTTCTAAATTAAAGGAGGTGGTTAGAGAAAACCTACATACTCTCTGTTCAATTTCTACATGATACGCAGTCATCAGCCTCCTTCTACACATAACTGTTCTTTCTCAATTCTACTGTAACACAAGTGCTTCTGCAAAGTTGAGGAAGAAATACAAACCAGAAAATTTTAAATGTAATTATATGCATCAAATAAAAGAAGTATTTCAATAAAAAGAATGAACATTATATTCCATCTGCTTTTTGTAACAGGAAAGTGGCACATGGATTTTTCAAGAAGTGCTTTGTAACTCCCAGGTGGCACATCTACCTTTCAATGTAGTAGTTACTATGGTAACTGCTTCTTTTTACAGGCTAGCTTTGTACTTTCCCAGTTTAACCTCTTCATGGTCTTAAAATGTGTCCTTCTCACTTGATTCCAGCTATTTCAAATGAACCCCTATGGGTTCATACCAGAAACATGAACACTCGGTATGCTGCAACAAGTTTAATGAAATTTAAAGCAAGATTCTAACAATAAGGAAAACAATGCTTGTTTTTTTAATATGTGAGAATCATGCAGAACAGCATAAAAATTAGGCTGAAATATCTTAGAAGTATTTGTTAACATTCAGTACAAGGCAGTATGAGCCAAATTGTGTTCTGACTCAGTCCATCCTCAGACAAAGCACCAAGTGGGAGTTGGTGAAGGAGTAAAAGAGTAATAAGAAGGGAATGTGGTCCTAAGCACAAAGCTAGGCTAAACTGCAGAGCTCCTACACAGACTTTTTTTTCCCAGGCTTCACACGTAAATAATTGTGGTCAATAAACAAGTAACTCTGTAAGTCTACAAATGTTTAAAATAAAGTATGATGTTAAACTCAGGCTTGTGTGTGTTTTGCATGTAAGTGCATATGAGAATCAGTAAGATAGGAAGAAGCTTCCTCCCACAACTTACAGCATCATCCAACAGTTTTCCTGTGCTTTTTTTCCCAGGAGACTTTGTGGGTGATGGTGAAGGAGATGGAAGGGGAGCTGAAAGTGTTTCCTCTTGTTCAATCTCTTTTTCCAATTTTATTAATCCAGGAGGTTCCACCCCAAATCTTTTGGAAACATGCAAATAATAAATTACTAGTCCATATAAAGTATTATATATTTTAAAACAATACAGTGGAAAGAATTTCTACTTTGTATGCAGTAACAGAATGATACACACATTAACAAACATCTATAAAACACACCAAATATTACCGCCATCATTTCAAATTAATAGAAAAATATAATTTAGATGCAGTCTCTCAGTTAATCAAATTTACAGGAAATACAGGTATTTTTTCAGCTTCTCTGTCTGATATCATATATGTTGGTGAATAATTTATGAACAACACTAGACCTCAAAAATTGCAATACCATGCAGGATAGAGTCAAGTTCAGTACATTTGTGCTTTATTCTATTTTTTTCTTTCCAAACAGCATCTTCTCAGATTACTTGACAACTTATATTTTGTGTTAGTATTTCTCAAAGAAATCAAAATTAAAAGGGATTAAGGGTTTTCCTGGTCTCAGCTACTGTACTGAATTTATAGATAAGTAAACTGAGACATGGCCACTACTCATCAGAAGTGGTTAGTGTTTTTACTAATTGATTTTTGACAGCCAGTCTTCAGATCTCTGTTTACAGTGACAACATACTTATAGCTCCAGCTAAAACAAAATACATGCAAGTTCAGCATGGATAAACTCAAAACAGAGCACTTGAAGAGCAAGGTTGTTTGTGAAAGATCTTTTGAAAGCTTTATGACAAGTCACTGAGTAACTATCTCACAGCAAGCACCAGAGCTTGGACAGAAGTCAGAAGTCTAAAAGCGGATCCCATTTTCCTAATTACTGATTATTCCCTTCTGGTTTTTTTGGGGTTTTATCTGCCAACAATGAACAAATCCCAGAAAAACATACAGAGTCCCTTTTTCACAGAATCACAGAATAACTTCAGCTTGGAAAAGTTATCATGCCAGGTAGACTTCTCATAGCAAACTACTTGCACAAATGAAATCGTATTTTCTTCTGTAGCAGAAAGTCCATAGTCCAGATGCAGAATTATACTGACTTACCTAGTTAAAGATCTGGACGCTAAAATATTAAGCAGTAACAAATATATATCATGAAAATTTAAGCTAAATACCATAATGCTTTTGCATTTTTCTGATAACATTTAATTTAGTCATACTGCTGCCTAGTAAATTAATAGAAACCAAACCAAGAACAAAATTTGTGCTTGTAGAGGCTTCTAACTGGTGCAGTCTGCCTAATGAAAAGCCAGCCAACATTGAAACAAGCACTTACATACAATCTATTTACTTCCTGTCTGTCTGCAGATGCTGACAGGAAGTAAATAATTTAATTCCCACTGGGCTCTAAGCCTACTCCTGCATACAGCCTTACTCATCAAATAAAACTCTTCCACTGTAAGAAATGTTGCTCTTTTGCTTCTACTGCTTTTCATTGTTTCTACATTTTGTGCTTGTGACAGATTTTTAAAGTTGCCTGTACTTCCAGTGTTGTGAATTCCTCTGATGAAAAGTTGAAAAATAAAATCAACAAACACGGGCACACATAGGCACACACACACAGAGGCGCACACACACATTTTCCACACGCTAGAAAGCTGAAATTGTAAAAACCACATATTTTCTGAGAGAGGTAGAGGTGAAAATTCTGGGAAGATATGCTGAGCATTTTCTTTTCTGCTCCTTTCTAGGCTGGTTTCTCACAACTACATGTGAAGCAGCATTAGACTGTAACATGATCTCTGTTAGACTTAGAGCACAACTTTCCATTTTTATCAAAGTAAAATTGAATACAATAGCAGAAAGAACTTGATATTGCTCAACAGTAATTCCAAAAGACGTGTAAGGGTCATTTAACCCCGCAGAGTTTAACAATAACCCAAGAACTTCGTTCTTTGTGATAAAAAAATAATTTAGCTGTTTTTCATTGTATAATCTCTGACTTTCAAATACTTAGGGAGAATGTTCGACCTGTGCAACTCACTGCAATAGTCCTGTGCATTGTCAGTGGTCAATTCCATCCTGTAGGATACTTCCCTCTCTCATAAATCTCACTGTATCGATGTAACATCTTCCAGTGACAAAAGGAAGTTTTGCAGATGATCTCAGAACTTTGTTTTCATAAAAAACTGAAATTCAGGATAATTTATCAGACAACTGTACTTCTATTAATATCTTTGAATTGCTACTCTTTGAACTAAGTGGTCACACCAGTTTCCCACTCACTGTGCAGTCCATCCATCAAGATCATATATTCCTAATTTGTCTAAGAGGACACTGAGATAAAAAGCATTACTAAAGCAAAGGTAAATTATCACCTGTCTCCCCTCCTCCACAGAGTATCTGTTGAATACAAGTTCAAGTTCAGCAGAATAGAGTTCAATTTAACTCTTCCTCAAGCAATCCTCACTCTTCCTCACTTGTGCCTCAATCACAAGTCTATTTGCATTAAATGAAAAGCTTAGGTTGACTTACAGGAGTTACAGACCCTGAAGACAAACAGTAATCTAGCTGGGCGGTGTACCAAAAGCTGAGTTCTTGTGATGACTAAGCCACTTTGAACGTATCTTTCTGCTTCTAAAATTACTCAGTGTCTCTTACTCTTTTTGTTCTTTAAAAACAGGTTGAGGTACTTTTTCAAAGATCTCTGCAGCTCCTGTTCTGGAAAGCAGATCCCTAAGACTGCCAACAGACCTGGTTTGCTTTACAAAGCATACATCTGACTTCTCTCTTGTTTAAAGCAGCACAGCAACATCACTTTAATGTGCTCTTTCCTACACTTAATGAAGGCAACTATAATTTTTTTCCCATACAGCTCTAGTTTACCACAGCACAGGCAAAATAGGCATCATATATTTGGTTTTCAATTGTATTAACCTGACATTCCACTTCAGTTTTTGTGTACTTTGGAAGTGTACAAGATTATAAATGGGAGTTTGTTTTTGAAGAGATACTAGAGCAGGGAAAAGTAGACAGACATGTCATCTGACCCCTAATTTATAAATAAAATTAAAATAAAGAAACATAAATACAGAAACAGAAACACAATATATAAAATAATCATTAATGATATATGGTAATATTCATGTATTAGAAATAAAAAATAAAATGCAAATATTTAAGGGAAAAGGGATAGATATGCATAATAAATGAAAACGTGGCTTATTTACTTGTTCAGTACTTTTCATGTCTGGAATAGAAAGCATCTGAGACATGGAAGCTTAAGACAAATATAAAGAATAAGATTCTATTTTCATTCTCTTGTAGATCTATTGAGACATCAAATCTCACTGCAAAATGAGATTAATCTAACTCAACCAACTTTAGCAGAATCCAACACTGCCTAATGACAAACATGCATCACTGGAGGAAGTTGGATACTATAAATTCACCAGCTGGGGCAGATACCCCTGATAGTTATGCCCCAGGCATAGGGTCTTTGTAGGTCTATCTCCATGCTGGTCTTGAAAGCACAGTTGGTTTGCTCCAGTAAATTAAGATTCATTAAGATTAATTTCATTATGCACCTGCAGATCAAAATACTTCTCTGTGGGAAGTTAAAACAATTTGCCATTTGAACCAAAGTTCTAGAGATAACAAAATAATTGAAAACCTGAAATCACTATTTTTTTGGTCATTGCTGTTCCTATACAAGCTTACACTGAGAGCATGGGTTTTTCTGAAACTTGACCATTATACAAATTTCTAATTTTCCATTCACAAAATATGAATACACATGACAGAATTTTAACAGTCACTACTAGTTCTTAACTAGGAATAAACAGTGGTCTCTTTCACCTCAGTTGTTACCACAAGGAATTCTTCTGAAATCAATGAAACTATCTGAATAGCAAGGCACTCCAAGTTCACACACATCAATGAATTCAACTACAATTTACATGCAAGACTGGGCAGTAGTGCTGCTGCTCATGTATTTTTTAGTAAGTCTTACACATTATGCTGGTTAAATTTGCATCTGCAAAAAGGGGGAAAATCACATTCTAGCTACTATAATTTTGATTGTTTAGCGGAAGTCTTTGTCTTGATGTCAAAGATAACATTACAATGTACTGATGGTCCAGCACAGCTAGATCAGATTTAGGTCATGTGAAGATCAACTTATTACCAGAAAACTTAATTAAATTGCAGTTGTTTATAGAGAGATCTGACTTTGGAAGGAGAAACGTCTTAAAGTTTTATAGAAAAAAGAAATTTCTCAAACCCTTCCTCTCTTAATACAAGGACAGATTTCTTCACTGAGGTACAGAGATTTTGTAATATTTGTTAACAAATGCCCACAAGAGTGACATCAAGACGAACTTCTATTTGAACTCAATAAGCACAAAAGTTAGCTTGAGATGTACTGATTTAATACGGCTGTCAATAGCCCTGCAGTCAAGAATGCAAATATTTCATCAGTCTTTAAATATTTTTTACCTTTAAATATATTTACCTTGCTGCAATTCTTCCAAGTTCCAGCAAACAAAGGCACACTTCTCTTGGCTGCTTGTGGAGTACTAGAAAAGCAAAATGAAGATGGAAAACATTGATAAATAAAAGCTATTTTAAAGATCTTAGTGATGGAATGGAACCTAATCATCAACATCTGTAACTCTTGACTCCGATAAAAGATTGTTTTCTTTGGCTTGAAGTAGAGTTTTACTGGAATAAAAAGGATGGGATTGATGAGTGGTTCTGAGTTCATACAGTTCAGAAGTTTAGTTATCTAAATCACTAAATAACTATCTGAGGTAATTGGTAATCTGCAAGCAGTTCATAACTACTTAAAAATAATCAAGAGATCTGTCACAACACTTTAATTAGTAGAAAGTAAAAAATAATAACATTAGAGTGATACTTTTCTTTCTACAAACTAAGAGAATTCATATCCTTTAGATCACTATTTCTCTTAGCCAATTTAAATTTAAAAAATAACAAAGTTGCATTAACAAGGATATACCTCTCTACAAATTAGGTCCTGAATTTTTTTCACATCTACTCTTAAAGTAAACATGAAATTAGAATACTTTAGGAATCAGTTCTTCACAGCATAAAAATCCCAAACAGACAAAAAGTTTATTCTTTATACATATATATAATGCAAGTCTGCATGCCTGGATTCCACACAGAATAGTTTTTTTATTATTCAGAAGTAGATGTGATACAGCATGATCTCATTATTGTGAGAGACTGAAATGTTAGGGGTTAATGTCCCAGCCATCCATTTGCAAAAGCAGCAGGTAAAAAGGTTCTTTGCTGAGGCCAGGTTTGCACTCTCTATGGGAAGGAGAGGGGGAGAGTTTTTGGTGTGTGGTGGTCAAATATCTCAACTGCGTAAGAGCAGTCCAGGCACAAGAGGGGGTGTGCACCCACCCCCAGAAGATGACCAAAACCAACCAACTTCTGTTTAGCAACAAGCTGTGTTTTGAGACAAATAAGGGAAAAGGCTCATAAGAAGCAGACCCTGCCAAGTGGGAATAGTGCTTCTCATCATGGCAATGGGCAACGTCCTCCCTTATATAACTGCCTCAGGCATAAAACTCCCCTCCGTGGAAGGTACTGGCACACTCACACTTCCACATAGGCTTGAAGGCATACATCCCTTCTGATGGGGCATAACTGGCTCAGCTATGCTGATGTGAGAGGCACTTGTCATGCTTTAGGTGTCATAAGCCATCCAAGTCCCACAACGTGTGCCCTAATATCTGAGGGTCTAATATCTGAGGTCTAATATCTCAGACTAATATCTGAGGTCTTCCACCAGAGGACTGCACATGATCCACAGTGTTGCAACAGACTGTGAAAAATCCTTGCCTCAGGGGTGGTACTCCAGATGTTCTCACCTGAATGTGACGGTATACTAACCCATTGAACCTGGTGCTTCATAGGCCTACCCCACCCTTGATGGATCAAGACTGTGACCATCACTTCAACCAAGAGACACAGAAATTGCAACAATTAAGCAATTAAGTCTCAGTTCACTCTCTATTCTTATCCTTTCTCTCTTTTCCCTCTATATTTTCTTAAGTGGTATTTCATACTTTTATATTGCTGCATTTCTATAGATGATAATAACCAAAATGGCTACAACCAAACTGATCTAAAATAAATCTGCCACATATATATATATATACATACAAAAAACACTAGTCATTCAGTGTGGTTTCACTCTCACCTGCCCAATGGAATCTATTAGCAAGAACCTTTATAACAATTATGAAATACCACCATAAACCAACATATTTTTCCCCCCACAACTCAGAATAGGTAATGTTCTGTAAATAAGTTTAGCAAAGTATAAAAGTAAAAACCAAAAACAATAAACGAAGAAAGGTCTGTGGCTGTTTGCATAATCCACCCCCCAAAACTCCAAGAAGAAGAAAGGAAAAATAGAAGAAAAAAGTAATTATGAGTACATTGTAATCTACTCTTCAGAAATACCTACTAAAGACCTTATGTTGTGAGTAAAAATCAGGTTTTAAAACCTTCCACAATAATAAAAAAATTTGCACCTGACACTTCAGATTTAATTGAGACCAAAACGTAATTGTGTGACTATTTGTATGAATCAGAAAAAACTGAATAGTATCAAAATAAATTTGTTTTTAATGATTTAAGGTCAAGACATGAGCTATATAAACTTTTGGTAATCTAAAGACTCACCTAACTCAAATGCTTGAAGAAAAATACCATACCTGAAAAAGATATTTTAATGTCTAGTTAAAGCTCTGAAAGCAATTACTCTGTTTTATGCATGAGACCCAAAAGGGGAATCCACGGACCTGAATATCTCTAGGTAACTAATGGCCAGAGGTAGACCTCCAGTTTCTGTGACTTGGAGCTCCACTGACATGAATAAGTGTAAGTGGGGTGAGCTGAATGCTCATTCCAATCATCCTCTCCTAGTGTCTGGGTAGCCCTTTGAGAGGTATGTATTTATCCTCTAACCTCATGCAAATATATTTCCAGAAGTGAAACTGCAGAGCATGAAAATTAAACAGGAACTGCACTAGAAAATATATTTATTTTTATTATTTTATATTTAAAATATTTACTATTATTATTTTATATTTATTCTTCAGCCATTTGTTACTAAGAATACAAATGATGAACACTTAGACATTTGGCTATTTTCAATATTCTTCTTTCCTACAACACAGTAATTAAATTAAATATTTATATAATTTTTAAACTTATTTTTTATTTAACTTTTACTAGTAATCAGTATTTTTAAAGTGTTACATTCAAGACCCTAGAAGTGTATTCTTCTATTTTGGTTTCAAACTGGTTGTGACAGCCCCAAAATAAAACTTGACTGTAAGAAGTAAGGCATCCCCCAAAATATAAGTGGAATAAACTGGGTTTGGAATAGTCAGAGAGTCAATTGCAATTCATACATATGCACATTTGAATGACTTTGGAATGGAGGAAAAAGAGAGTTTCAGCTATTACTATTTGCAGAAAGATCCATAAATATAGCTAGAAGAATATACAAATAAAAAAGTAAAAAATTATATACCCAAACAAGATTCATAGACTTATAGCAAGTCTGACTCAAGATAATCTAGACACATTTCATGCATCTCACACTGAGCAATGTGACATACTGTAATCATTGTTAGAGGATGAAGACGTGTGCAGGCAATAACCAACCACAAAAACAAACATCAGGTCATCTCATATGACAGTACTTCTAACAAGAAAATATTAGCATTCCTGAGGACTATACAGCATATGCGTATGGGGACTTCAGAAACCAATAAATGCTATTTTATGCATAAAATGAATGGAAATATTCATCTTTCTAGAGAATCTCATTGATGGCATTTGCTTGACAACAATGCAATGGGAAGATAGAGAAATAGTTCAAACAACTCTGGCTTATTTTAGGTGTCCCGCCTTTTCGCTTTTCATCTCATCTCTTTAAATGCTTCTTATTTGCTGTCCTCATTGCCTGCATCTTTACATCCTACCTGAAGCCACTCTTTGTTAACAATAATACCTCTTCAGGTCCTGGAAGTTTTTACCCCTCCTTCTCTCTGGCAATAACATTTCTTCATACTGTTCCCATCTTATTGGTGTCCAGTTCTCTTTTTATAGGTATTCCTCTTTTGTTCAGTCAACCTTTGTGCATATTCCATGTACTTCCATTTCTTTCCTACCTAATGTTCTCCACACTTTTGCATCCTTCACCGGTCCCTTCCCCAGTGCTCCCTAGCTCAGTGCCTGGATGCTCCCAGGAGAAGCAAAGAAGAAGCAGCCTCTGCTTTCAGCACTATTAGAACCTGGGACTGTGAGGAGACAGAACACACAACGCACTAGGAGTCCATGTGTTTACTGAACATGTTTAAACTGAGAGTTCACAATAACATTCAGGGGTTTAGTTTTGTTTGTAGTTTTCTGTTCATTTTAAATTAGTAGAATATCCACATATTATCTACTAATAAATTAATATAATAATAATAAATTAATAGAGAAAATAGTAGAATAATCGCAATACAGAAAGAAACTTCTCAAAACTTCCTACCAAGTTAAAATCTTGGCTCCTAACTCTTTTATAAGCCATTTTTAATGAAGTCAGTCTTCCTTCTAACATAAACTTTTTTTTTTTGTTTTAAAGATTAAGATATCAGGCATAGCTGAATCACAAAAAGTAAATATGATTTCTATTTCTAAAGCATTCCTTAGCCCACTAGCAGTGAAGAGTTTTACCAAGTGCTTTAGTATTTATTATCACAGGCTTCCAATTGCTATCAGAACTCACACTAGTTCTGGGAAAGTTTTCCAAAAGGTTGGTCCTTTGATTCTCCTTCTTATTGTCTCTCACTTTTTCTTTTATTTTTTATTCTGATCCTACAGAAGGCTTTTTGTGCTTAAAAAAACCCCCAACATTGCTTTGTCAATATGGTGTTAACTTATCTCAAACTTACCCTTGCTTTTGCTTCAGTTATGCTATGACACACTTGTGCTTCCCCCACACTCCCTGCCCCATTTCAGCTCAATCACTTAAGGAAGTCTCAAAACAATTAAGGTGTCAAACATACTAGATCAAAAGAGAGTAAAGAATTCATCTAGAAGGAATATAGAGATCATCTAAACATTAATAATTTACTGAAATTCATTAGTTCCACATGCAAATCCAGTGGTAACAACAAAGAGTCCAGGATGCTTCTACAGTCCTCAAAATGAGACATATTCAGTAATATTATGAGTAGTTTAGTGAAGAGTTGTGAAAGATGGGACAAAATCTTATTCTGATGCAACTTCATCTAAATTTTAACAGGGTATTACAATATGTGGATTTATCAGTATAAAAGAACAGCAAAAACTTGCATCTTGGAATCAGATAAACTACAGTAATCATTAAAAAAAATTTACCCCATGTATAAAATATTTTTAAACAAGCAACGTTTGAGTATTTTTTAAAATAACCTTTAAATCAACAATATGAGAAGAGAGATCAGAGGTACTATTTCCACTAAAATACTAAATGGTTTTATTTAGGAAACCTGTCCATGAAACTCTAATCAATCTGTTGCATCAAAAGAAGTCCATGTCACATACTATGTGTACAGCTGCATAGGATATACAAGTGCAAAACATTAACCATCAACAGCATCCAACACCTCCCAAAACAAATGACATATCAGCATGCTGGCACACTCAGTGGCAAACCCTTTTCTTGCCGGGTAGACTATATCATGGAAGAGATGCAGAAAATTCACTGGATCCAAATCCTATAATCATCCAACAACACTCCATTAGCACAAAGAGTTCAGAACTTATGCTTTATGTTCACTTAACTAAAGCAATCACAGAAAATCTTACCATTCTTATCTGTCCAAGAAGAGTTTTCTTTGAGTATTATACTATTCAGGCATAAGCAAAATTACAAATATCACCTAGAATGCTTCCATAAATAAAATTACCGTAACTGTGGGGATCTGCTGCTCTAAAATCTGTACAGGGAAATTTACAAGGTATATTTATGGGAACAGAGGAGTTAAAGGCAGTAATAATATCCTTACACTGCAAAGAGTTAGCACATTATATTTAGAGTTCCACATGTCTGATACATCTAAGAAGACTGTTCAATGATGCTGTACCTCAAGATTTGCACAGATTATCAAAATTTGGATTTTGGATCATAATTTTTGGTATTAACAAAGCTAATTCCTTATTTAAATACACCAACTTTAAAAATAAAAAATATGACAAGCATGCTAAATTTGGCAATGAGTGCAGGGAGTACACATGGTGTCCCTCTATTTTGCAGCACTCAAGATTATCCCTATGTACCATGTTGTTATAATTTCTACAGATGTTCATGTATGAGCTGCATCTCATACATCAAGTATGCCAGACACCTGTTCTTTGCAAAGGCATTAACTCGGAGACTTCTCTGCCATGTCTCTGCACTTAAAGATGAATTGCTACCACTCAGCTCTGGCTGTGTTAAAACTCTTAACAGAAAACTGTGTTTACAATTTGTTTGCATTTTAACCTATGTTAAAGCATGGTAACATTCAGCAAGACAAACTACATCATATTACAGACTACTAACAAATTAGCAGTGCAAATAATCAAATTTTTGATCTCTCTACTGATGTCTTCCAATATTTAAAGTAATTAGTAATTAGACAGAACTATCACATCTACTGGTATATCAGGCACCTCTATATTTCATTCTAGTTACATTTCCTTCTATTTATTTTGAAGACTTCAATCTTGTTTCCTTGTTTAGCTCAGCTGAATAGCCTAAATCCAACAAAGAATTTGAAACTGTGCTTAACTTTAAATAATTACATGAATTGCTAAATTAGTTCACAAGTGAAGGACAAGAGCAAAATGACATGAACAGATCTGCTCACCTGCTTGTCTGGAACAACCCTGAAATGTTAACCCTTTGCAGAAGCAAGCCTCTAAGAATACTCAAGTTTCCCATTAGCATCACTTACCTGCACACTCATCAGGCATGGACTACCCCTGTCTGCTCTAGTCTAGTTTCAGACAGCTCCATTCTAATGAGGAATACCTTCATACCACTTCAGCCTCAGTGCAAAATAGTTGGAAGTGCTGGGATGCATTTGTGAGCAGTTATACTTGCATTGTTTCAAATACTTCTTCAGAAGTCATAACAATGAGATAGTATTTTTAAGTAATGAGAAGTAATAACAATTAACAATTTCTTAGCTAGTACAAAATTAATTTTGCTGATCTCTAATATACTTGGTAGGGTTTTTTTTTAAATCAGTAGTGCCATAAATCCATTGTTCAAATATTTCAGTGCATGAAATCTTCAAAATCACTCTTACAATTCTAGAATACATATTTGCCAGAAGAAGACCTCAGGAATGTTTTATATGATACAGTAGTATGATGAAAATATAACTATGTGCCTTTAATTAAACAACACAGTATTTGCATACCATAAAACAGACAGAGTAACAGTTTAAAAATGTAGATAAAAATCCACTCAATTGAGAACATTGATACAATAAGGTTCTTCAATACAGACAGAAAAAAGCTCCTTTATCACTAACAATTTACACACCGATTTACTGAGTTTATTAGCCGTGGGGAAAAACAGAAGAAAATACAGAAAACAGTTACCTCTCTAACCATAATTTCACCACTATTAATCATAAAAAATACAGAATTCAATGAGGAAGTGCAAAGACATGTTATTCACACACATTTCTCACTACTTTAAAAAGAACCTTTGATATTACTTACCTTGGATGAATTTTTGCTTCCTATGCATTGGTGAAGTGATTTGTGGGAGAGAGAGGAACATAAAAGCTTTAGGTTGGCAACTGTTAACATTTATCATTATCTCTAATGTATTAGGAAAATCTCAAAAGAAAGCAAAACTTCAAGTTACTTTAAATTGAGGGAGAATGATAGCTACTGGTTTTACTTTTTTTAATGGCATGATTACCACCTCCTTCTCAAGTTCATAAAAATGGGTCAAAGTATTATCAAGTCCTAATCCTATTTCAAGCATCAGAAATCTTTTCTACTAGCCCATTATATAAGAAGGGAAGAAAAAACAGAACCTAGTTTTCAATGAGTGAAGAAAAATAAATTACTAATCAAACAAAATGGAGCACAGATTTGTGCACTCAGTCATATTTCAGTTCAGTTTTCTGAGTGAGGAAGTCTGCTGGAACACACTTTTTCAGGTGTATTTACACTCTGTGTTTTACTATGGCAGGCAAGGCACTATTTATGTGTGAATATTAACTTATCAGGAAATGCCAGTATTCCAGCTATGCAAATTTCATCTCTAAACAAGATCTAGTTTCTCAAAAATGCACAATAAATTTGTGGAACAATGGCAAATGGCTGGGCTTACCATAGCAATACAAACTTCAAATACCTTTAAGTATTCCATTAACCAGAGGTTCTTCTGCCTATCTCAGGCATTGGAGGTCTGCATCTCCTGGTGTTTACAAGCTTCTTGGTCCTAGGTAAAGTCCAAATTCTTCACCATTTCAAATCATTGAAACTACAATTATTGTTCACCTTCCACATGATTTACCATATCAAATAAGAATTTCATCGTAAAGATTTAATTAACAAAACAGAGCCAATACATATATTCAACTTACTATTTGTCACCTTTGAGATACTGATCTGTCCTTGACCAAGCTTTTTCTCCCAGACATATAAAATAGTGTAATTTAAAAAACCTCCCAGGATAAAAGAACAGACAAATGAAAAACTCTCTCAGAAATATTTGTGCTAGACTACAGAAGTAGAACAAGACTGTAAAAGAATAGGAATAGATCAGTCATAACACATGTAAGAGCTTCAACAGGGCAAAGGCTTTTTGAGCAACAGAACAAAGAAGCTTCTTCATGCAGCACAGTGTGTTCATTTGTCTTCCACAGAGACTGATCTGTCACCCTGACTGCTTTACACTTTTATCTGATTTCAGGTAACAAATATTGGACTCTCTTCATCTCATGAGATTTATGAAACTCTGAAGTCAAGATTCGTAAGTTTTCCTTTGAAGAGAAAAGAATTAAAACAACAAAGAATATGTAGTATTAGAACAGTGATTTCCTAAGCAGTCAAATTATTTTCATGAAACACCCTGAAGCAGTAGTATTGGACAATTTTTGTCCAGAACTGCACAAGGGAACCAGCTGGAAAAAATGGTTAGCATAGGAAACAGAAAAATTTTGTATCTTCTAGCCTCCTGTGGAATTCATTAAATCTCCACAAATAGCCAAATGTCTGCAGACAGAACTGCACATGCACTTGTATCCTACTTTCCCAAAACAGAAAAGCACCATCTTACACATTGAACTAAGGAACAGCATTCCATGCTGAGAAAAATATGCGTAGGGTGAAAAATCATTTGTGTGCAAGAAAACAGCAAGATTTTTCTTTCATTTAAGTTCCTCTTAAAATTGACTTAAATGAGTATTATCTTATGTGTACTTTCTTTGTTCATTCTACAGACAAGCAGAAGAATTAACACAGTCAAACACAGATTCATTTCTGTCTTTCAAGGCTAAACACAAAGGAAAAGTTACTTTAAATTACAAACTACTACATAAAGAATAAGAAAATACATACCCAAACCTTCTGATTCAAACAGGCAGGTATCATCCACACCTACATCTCTGCACCAGGATAAGAAATTTGCTGTGTTGTCCCGTGCAAAAAAAGACCCTGAAGGAGCATTGGCTTTGCATGGAATTTTCCGAACTGGTAAGGTCTGAAAAACAGGAATTTTTTATTTAGCTAAATGATATATGCCAGCAAAATACTTAAGTATTATGAAATCACTATGCAAGTTTAGTAACTCCTACCAACTTATTTCCTTGGTCATTAAAGAATTCCAAGCAAAGAAGCATGAGAAGTGAATTTAACAGCATGAAGTTCTCAACCAAAAAGTCTTTCCAAAAGTCCATGCAATGAGATTGAGAGCTGAACCAGTATTAGCTACTTCTTAGGAATATTAGGCTTTGGATACAGTGTTTGGTCCAGTACACTGAATTAAAAAGGAAAAAAATTATAAAGACAGACTTTAAACTAGGAACTGAACTTTCTCACAATTAAGGCTGAATTACTTTCAGTTCTATGTTAGGAGGCAATCACAGTGTAAAAGAATGGGTCTTGAGGCCCAAAGACTACAGACACTTCAGAAAGGTCACTGTCTCCTGTTTAACAACACACAGAAGTCCCCAGTGGACAACACAGGACCATACATCTAGTAAGTACAAAGTCAAGGTCTATAGAGACAGGCTCCCACTCTACCATAGTTTCATTTACATAATTTCACTATCAGACAGGATGCTACAGATACAGCATCAATATCTGTACCAAACAGAGTAATTACCAGAGCAATCCTGCTGCCTGCATTGGTACATTTATTGAAACACATAAAAAAGAAGCCCCTAGCATTTAGTTCTCATTTAAGGCTTGTTTTCCTCAAATAAAAAATAGCTGTGATACCAAGTGATGACACAAAATGAAACATTGTTGCTATGTAACTTTAGGAATGTCTAAAACATAGAGGAATTCAGACCTTAAGTTGATTTGAACGCACTCTTTTTCCAATACTGATTTATGGAATGTTTACTTCTGTTCTGGAGTCAGTAATTACTCAATCAAAAGTGAGCTAAGATGTAGAAAACTGAAAATATGGTGTCTACTCATTCCTAGCTTAAAATTACTGGAAATCGGGGGGGGCAGAAAGACACAGGAGTAGGCTTCCTCTTACAACAGCCTCTAGCAGAATAATATCAATATTAAACACAGCTTAGAAGGAGTTTAAATATTATATTATACATATGACAGCAGCAATGTAATGGTAGAATATGTCTACATGCACAGAGCTACTCACTGCTACCAACCCAATAAGCCAAATAAAAACAGAAAATAGAACAACAGCAGGAATAAACACTATAAACACTTATCAGTACGTCACGGGGACTTTCAGATTGTCTTAGATATACAAATATGTCTCAGAGATTTATGTTTTTAAATCTATTCCTCAAACCACCATCTAGCTTTCATTCCCTCATGAGTTTTACTCCAATTACACAATTTACATTTCCTTGTTTTGGAAAAATTAACTTATGTTTCTAACCATTTGCAAGGAGATATTAATACTTTTCTATAATTTATATAAAACACCAACCAATTTTGCATGGTATTTTAAACAAAAATCTGGGTAAATGTTATGTCACAGATACCATATCACCTCCTCGACCATCCTGGAACAAGGAGGGGAAAGCAAGTAGAAGCAGGGAATTAAAAACAGCTATTCTTTAATCCAGAATAAATAAAAAAACTACAAAAGATGAATTATTTCATGGAGCTCTAGATATGGAACAATCTTATGGATCAGAGAACAATGAAGTTTTAAAAAATTATCTCTGCCCCATTTCTATTTTTCTGGAGGGAAAAAAAGGGGGAAAAAAGTGGAAAAAAAAGCTCAGTTCCTCACAGATCAGTGATTTTTTTTTTTTTCTCTTCTTAAAAAAAAGTTAATAAAAACCTGTCAGGACTAGACATATTTTTAGGCTAGCACTCTTTTCACATCACATTAATTTCTTCAAAGAAGCAATGAATATTTCTTTTTAGGCAAATATTTATACTCTACAGACTCTTTCTCCCATTGAATTTCCTCTTGTTGACTTAGTCTTTAGGAAGAAGTTAATGCAGCGTTTGTCTATCTTTGTCTCTCCCTATGCCCTTTCCCAAGAGATTTTAACTGGACAAATCTAATAGTCTTAAAAGTATACCCACTTCTTTTAAAAGGAGTCACACAAGTCTCTGACAGCCTGTTGGAAGGTCAGCTAGTCCAGGCTGCAGAGGAAAGCTGTCAAAACAGGACTTCCAATTGATGATTTTTCACTAAAATCCTATACATAACATTGCAGAAACCTTAAAGAAGTTCCTTCTTCAAATTTTTCAAGATAAGGTTCAACCTGACCTTACCTCTTTCAGGGTAAAAGAGGAACAAGCAAAGTGGGCAGTGATATTGGATCAGCACAAAGCAAAATGGGAAATAGACAGCAGCAAGAGCTGAGCTACTCTATGAGGGAAGATAATCCAGGGTCAAAGGGTGACCCCAGCACAGGTGGTGGCAGCCCTCACTGGCAATGGTGCAGTCCCAGAGCATTGCAATAAGGCAATGCTGGGAACATAAGAGCTTTAGACAATTGTTCTGTTAGAGGAGGAAGAGCCAAGTCAGATCCAGTGTGTCCAGGGAAGCCAAGTCAGAAACAGCAGAAGACAAGGCTGAACTCAGGGCTGCAGCAGACACTGAGGCCCTAGCCATGAAATCCAGCAAGCAGGCAGCCAGGCTGGAGATGGTCTGTTCACAACACAGGTCTGGCAAGAAGAGGAGCTGAGACAAAAGGGAGGTTCTGTGACACAGGCAGAGTGCAGGTCAGGGTCCCAGTGGAGACTAGTCATGATTATTAAGGCATTTTGATTCCCTCAGGTCTAGACAACTAATATGCAGTTTCTAGTGTTTCAGTGGATTGAGAAACTACTCGGTAGTTTATAAGTAACTCCATCTTGTCAGTACATGCAAAGAGGTGCCATTTCATCATCCACTGTACATACATCATACTTGATCATATTCTCACTGAATGAAATTACCAGCAGCTCTAAACTGCTTTAACAGCATGAAAATCAAACAGAATGAAATTATTTTCCCGTATCGTCTCTGCTTGAACCAGAGTATCTGAAGTGATGCACGGATGTTGAATCACCTGAGTTAACAGTCAACATATACCAAATAAACTATATCTGACACTACTATAATCTTTGTATTTTTTGATGTATTATGTCAAATTAAAAGCACAAATTCTGGATGATCTACTGTAGATGAACAGCACTGTGACAGGAACAAGACGCCAAGAAGCCAGCTCCAGTATTCCTGGCACTTGCAGACTTGTGCATAAGAACTTCAGAGAGAATGGAAAGGAGATAAGGGTACAGTTACTTTATGTGTAAGAGCAGACCTGCAGTGTCACATCATGTCACCTATCAGTTCCCTCTTCAGTTCTCATCTCTGTATTTTTCTGCAGTGTCCATGTGTTATTTTGTTCTCAGGCTTGCCTTTGCAGAAAACAAGTGAGTCTTCTCCAAGAAAAAAAACCCTGTTTCTAATTCCAGGAACAGCTCAGAAGGGCTGGTGACTTCACACTGGGTTGGTTTGCTTCCACAAAGCTCTCCAGCTCTAGAAAATTCTTTAAACAGCTTTGTGCTGACACAACCATAATAAATACCCTATATTCTTTGAAGTCCTGCTAAGGATATTGCACGCTGTTCTGGAAGTCTGTAATAAACCACTTAGATTACCTTAGAACAACTGAAAAAATAAAAACCCCAAAACAACAAAAAATCCTCACCAAAAAAAACCCAAACAACACAAAAAAGAAATTCTTGTGTGTAAGACTGGTGGCTGCCATCTGGCAATCAGTGGAGATTTGGGCTCAGTGTGGGCACAACCCATCTGCTCTCCTTGGCCCTGAGCCCAGCAGCATGAGCAAGTCTCCAGCACTGGTCCTGGAGACCAAGACCTGTTGCGTTGCACAGAACCTTCAGCAGTACAAAAGCAGCTACAAGTGAGGAGACAGCAGGGAGAACCTGTACTGCCTCTTTTACGGGGTCACTGGGAAGGCATGCAATGCCTGGCAGGAGTGCAGAAAACCCCTAGTGACCCCTTGGGTCACTGTTGCTCCCCAGTACTAACAACATATTAATAAATCTGGTTCTAAATATTTTGTATCTTTTGATTTATGTATATTGCAGTGAATGAATGTAGAATTTCTTTCAAGGAGAGCAATTCAGAACAGATTGTTTGTGTGTCAGTAATCACCTGAAATTTCATACACATGACTATCCATAAATTACAATTCTATGTCTTGATAACTAAGACTTTTAAGCACATCATTTAATCTAGCTTCACTATGAAGTGTAGACATTCATGGAACTTGCAACATACTTTTACAGTTATAAGAATTACAGTGTCTTTCAAAAGCACATTTTTGGTAGTAAGAGTTACAGCAAATAGTAAGAGCCTAGGTACAGAACATCAAAAGCAAATTTGTGATATTCTTTAGTTTCATAGTGACAGAAAAAATCTTTGATTAACAATTAATCGGTTAATTAAGATGTCCTATACAGCTCAGAAGCAACAAACAACCACATGTAAAAACAAGACATTGTTGCAAACCACTACATAATTTAACAACCAAAAAGACCACAAAAGCTTCAAGCCATTTCCTGGAGCAAATACTACACAGACAAATATCCCTGACATTGCATGAACTCACTAAAATATATCGAAGCTTCATCCCATTTCCCACAAGATTAGGGTCTTGCTGAAGAGAACAGAAAAAAATCCCACCCTCTTTTCTATTCAGTAATAGCCCTACCAGGTTTATCACACAAATCATAGGGAAATACTCATATTTTCTAATCACCCACTAAATTTACCTACCACCTCATAAACAGAAGTCTACTTTTTTAATATTTCCAAAACTGCCACTGTACTGCTCAAACTAAAACACATGAAAGCTTTTATTCAAGAAAGGTTTCATTCACGAATATTTTTTACTGAGTAGTATAAACTGCCTATTTCAAAAGTGCTTTCTAACAGATCATTCTGAAATAATTAGGTCTCCACATGGCAAAACTGACTTTTGTTGACGTAGTGTAGTATAACCACAGTTGCTTTGAAGCAGCAATGGC